TTGCAGCTTGGTAATTTCTTGAGCTCCATTTAAGTTGCCTTTTGTTCTGTTAAATTTAAGTACGGCACTTACTCTAAAAACAGTATGTATTGTATGAGCCCATTTGGGTTAAAAAAGAAATCCTTTTCTCTGAATATGTGCATAGAGATGTCCCATCGGTGTTCTCTGGGTGTCAGCCGTGATTATTCTGGGGGTGCTGTGTTTCCGGACCACGTAACATTTTTGTTTTTGGTACTTTTCGGTGTTACTTGGATTTCTTATAATGAGCATGCACTATTTTTACCAGAGCAAAGCTTTTTTAAAAAATGAAAATACATTCCTGGAAAAAGAAAAAAAAAGTGTTCCTTTGCCAGGCCTCTATCTTACTGGGATCTATGGGGACTCTTTCCAGGGGCTGCTCAGAACCCACCTCCACAGGGTAAGGGGTGTGGTTCATCTCCTTGGTGGTCGGGGGCCGGAGGGGGCACAGGGGAGGGAAATTTGTGAGTAGACGCTGAAGGTTGCACTTTGCAGCCCTGGATGCTGGGCCGGTGGTGTCACGAGGCCTTGACATCAGGCCCGTTGAGTCCTCCACTGTTTGGTTGGGTGACAGAGCCTTTATAAAAACCCAAGAAGTCATCCTTGGCTGGGTGTGGTGGCTCATGCCTTTAATCCCAGCACTTTGGGAGGCCAAAGCAGGTGGATCATCTGAGGTCAGGAGGTCGAGACCAGCCTGGCCAACATGGTGAAACCCCATCTCTACTAAAAATACAAAAATCAGCTGGGTGTGGTGGCAGGCGCCTGTAATCCCAGCTACTCAGGAGGTTGAGGCAAGAGAATCACTTGAACCTGGGAGGTGGAGGTTGCAGTGAGCCAAGATTACGCCACTGCATTCCAGCCTGAGACTCTGTCTCTCAAAAAAAAAAAAAAAGTAATCCGCACCTGGCCTTATTTTCAGGTTCATGTAAGGTGGTGCTGTCACAGGGTTCAGCCTGGGAGGCCGCATGGGTTCCCGGCTTCATGCAGGAAGGAATTCAAGAACAAGCTGATAACGTGATAACAAGTTTATTAACAAAGAAAAGGAATAAAAAAGTGGCCGCCTCTGTGGCATGGCAGCTCAGCCTCATAGGCTCATGGGTATTTCTTGATCATAGGGTCCATACGGAGTGGATTATTTATGAGTTTCCCAGAATGGGGTGGGAATTTCCTGGAACTGGGTTCCTCTTCCTTTAAACCGTATAGGGTAACTTCCGGACGTTGCCATGGCGTTTGTGAGCTGTCACGCACTGGTGGGAGTGTCTTACAGCAACTAATGTATTATAATTAGTGCATCATGAGCATGAGGACAAGCAGAGGTCACTGTCGTCATCTGGGTTTTGGTGAGTTTTGGCTGGTTTATTGCATCCTGGTTTTTTTTTTTTTGAGAGAAAGTCTCACACGGTCGCCCAGGCTGTAGTGCGTTCTCGGCTCACTTCAATCTCCGCCTCCTGGGTTCAAGCAAGTCTCCTGCCTCAACCTCCCAAGTAGCTGGGGCTACAGGCGTGCGCCACCACACCCAGCTAATTTTTTTTCTTAGTAGAGACAGAGTTTCACCGTGTTGGCCAGGATGATCTTGATCTCCTGACTTTGTGATCTGCCTGCTTCAGCTTCCCAAAATGCTAGGATTACAGGTGTGAGCCACCGTGCCTGGCCTATTGCATCCTGTTTTATCTGTATGCTCTTTGGGGCCTGTGTCTTGGGTTGACTTGCTGTCATCCTGTGACTTCAAATGCCTAACATCCTGGGAATGCAGCCCAGCAGGGCTCAGCCTCAGTTTACCCACAGACCCTATTCAAGATGGAGTCGCTGTGGTTTGAATGCTTTTGATGGTGCAGTGTCTGGTAGTCTGGGTGGTCGCTAAGGATACTTAGTATTCCACATCATAGGATTCAATTCCAGCCAGCACCACTGTCAGCCCAGTTGAAAGGCTGAAGTTGAGGGGTCCGGGGTACTCTGGCCTGTTCTGGATCCTAAGAGCCACTCGTATAGTTGCAGCTCCATCTAGTGTCCATATCAGGACATAACAGCATCTATTTGGTTCACTGTAAAACCCAATTTCCGTACCTGCCTGCCATACAGCACTCATTAGGGAAAATCGACCAAAAAAAAAAGATTTTTTTTTTTTAAACGGAGTCTCGCTCTGTCATCCAGGCTGCAGTGCAGTGGCGCGATCTCTGCTTACTGTAACCCCCACCGTCTGGGTTCAAGCGATTCTCCTGCCTCAGCCTCCTCAGTAGCTGAGATTACA